TTTTTTCACTGGTGTGTGTGGGAAACTGATGCCCTGCACCTTATGCTAGATCCAGAGCTCTGGTGCTGTTCCATGAAAGCAGCTTCTCTGGGTTTTCAGTCCCTCCCCCATGGAGCCTGTCCTACCTGACTCTGCCTCAGCTGCTGCCACAACCAGAAGTCCTCAATACATCTTAATAATATGCTTTATCAATTTCACACTGAAGAAGTTGGCTATTGTTATTGTTGTTAAATGTTATAGAGTTGGTTCTGACTCATAGTGACCCTGTATAGAATAGTGTTTACCAGGAGCTGCTGGTGAATTTTCTGACAGTGTTCAAATGTCCTTGTGGTCTATTGCAACTTTTTAATGTCATCATTACTGGCTTTAGTGTTTGGTAAGTAAATTTGAATAATAGTGCTATTAATTTGTTCTCCTTGAAGGCATATGGCTATCAGTGTATCAAAAACTCTATTGTGGTTCAAGATAGATCTTGAAATGTTCTTCTTTTAAAGGAAGAATGCTATGCCATTCCTCTTGAATTTATTGTTCCTTGGTAGTAAACCATTAGATTGTCTTAATCAGCATAGCCAATACCAGTCCATTTCAGCTCACTAACTCCTAGGATATTGGACTTTATGCATTCCATTTCATTTTTGATAACTTCCAATTTTCCTAAATTCATACTTCATATATTCCATGTTATGATTATTAATGATATTGATATTATTGTGTCTACCATATAGTGGTGTTATAGGATAAGCACTGAACCAAAAGGTCCATTTGAACAACAAGGTGGTGACTCAAACCCACGAGTTGCTACTTGGAAACCATATATAGGGTTATTGTGAATTGAAATGGACTTCTTAACACTTAACAACAATAAAGGAGCTCTGGTAGTGTAGTGGTTACGAATTGGGCTGTGAATCTTAAGGTCAGCAGTTCGAAACTACCAGATGCTCTGCAGGAGAAAGATGAGGCTTTCTGCTCCCGTAAACATTTACAGCCTTGGAAACCCTGCACAGGGTCGCTATGAGTCGGAACCGACTTGATGACACTTAACGACAACAACAACAACCATATTTTACATTACTAGTAAGGTAAAGACTTATTAAAAATGTTTACAGAAAGAAAGGTATTAATACATGGAAGACGAAGATCGTTGAGATGAAGTCATGTCTAAAGTCATATGGCTAAAGGGTCTAAATTTGAACACTAGTGTGTGAAGTGATTCCAACTTCTGAGGAGGAGACAGGACTCAAGCACACCATTGAGCATTCTCCCAGTCCTCTTTGTGACATTTTGAAGCTTAGCTACAAAATGTCAGAAAGAGTCTAATTACACAGCCATAGTATTAGACTTCCTCTCTTTTTGATGTTTGGCTTCTTTCCATATTCACAAATTTATGTAAAAGATACCTAATTGGCTTAATAATTCCTATACGTCTCTTATCCCTCACCCACCCAGGGAAAAGTTCCTCTTTCATTCCATTCAAAATATAAATATGCCCTATTGCATAGGGCTTCTGGGTGGGGAATAGAAAAGAGGGGAGTTAAAGAAAATAACAAACTATTAAGGAACCAAAAAAGGAAATTAGGAAAACTGCTTTTATTCATTGAAACAGAGAAGAAATTAGTAAATGTAGTGCTGTTTCAGAAATTGAAATATGTAACTGTCTTTCTAAGGCAAGCTATACATGTTTTAAAAAACATTTTTTCTGAATAGCTCTGTGGAAGCTAGAAAAAGCTACAAGGTACAATTATTGTTCCTGAAGCATGTTTTATACAGGATGAAGATGTTCAATAAAATATTTGTGTGCATTTCTTCACTATGTTAAGGCTGAGGAGGGATGGGGAGGCATTGTGTTTAACTGTCAGTGTTCATCTTACAAAAATGATCTCAAATGCTGTTAAGCATTCATAAAGCAGATATTAAACCTCAAGGAAGAACAATTAACTCTGTTCCATAAAGATAGGACACACTCTGACCAAACTTGGTGGTTGGTTCTAGTTAAGTCATTGCTACTTAGCCTTAGTTTCTTTCCTTTAAAATGAAGAGAATAGACAAGATGTATTCTAGAGTACCTCCCCACTATTCAGAGATACATAGAAATCCATTGAGAGTTGAATAAATAATTTCAAAATATCTGCATAAGAATTCAAATATGAAAAGTTAACTCACTATCTTCAGAAAATGGGAGCAGGGTGGCTCCAAAGATAAGCAATGGACTGTGAACCACAAGGTCATCAGTTCAATCCCACCAGTGTAGAAAGATGAAGCTTACTACTCCCACAAAGATTTACAGCCTCAGAACTCTATACAGGGTAGCTATGAGTTGGAACCAACTCTTGACAGCCCTTAACAGCAACAATCAATAAGAAAAAAATAAAAATAAAATCAGTGTTTACCATTTCACCAAAGAAGACATTCAAGAAGTCAATAAATGAAGAAAAGATTGAGATCATTAGTGTTATAGATATTAAAATAAAAATTAAAATTAAATATCATCTTACCAGCATTAATAGCAAAGTTCACAAAAACAGAGAAAACAATGCTGGTGAGTCTGTAAAATGGTGCAATTTGAAAAAGAGTGTAATACTTCCTTACATATTTGGAAATAGAAATACCATATGACTGAACAATCCTTCTACACGTTACATCTTAGAGAAAGAACAGCCACGTTGTGAATATATTACTATACACACATGTTCATCATAGCACTATTTACAATAGTAAAACAGATAAATCAACCTGAATGCCAATCAATGGAAGAATGGATAAATAAACTTTGGTACATACACAAATGGAATGCTGTTGTTGTTGTTAACTACCATGGAATTCATTTCAGCTCATAGTGACCCTGTATAGGATTTCCAAGAAGTGGTTAATGGGTTTGGACTGTCAACCTTGGGGTTAGCAACCCAGTGCTTTTCCTATAGCACCACACCAAGATGCTAATGGGATGCTATGCAATGCTAAATAGTAACAATGAATTTATAAAACACCTCTGTAAAAGTAAGAATGATGCCAGTCATCCCTCCTACAACACTCTATGCAGCTTGAGTTTGAGAATTCATTGCAATGACAACATAGAACATAAACACCATATGCACAGTTCTGGGGCTTATTAGGGAAGTTAAAGGGTTACAATTCAGGGATAGAAATATTCGTGGTATAGTTCTTCTAGTGAGAACAGCCTATACTAAGCAGTTTCTTGTAGACTGGCCTCTCCAATGAGGTCATTAGTCCTTGACCTGGTCTCTGCTCTTCTTGGGCAATGTTATTTTTTGGGCTGCTGATAACTGCCTAAAGGATACACCATTCCAACAAAAACCTCAGTCAGAAGGCAGTTGTCTTTAGCTCACGGTTTAGCAAACCTAGCTCCCTTCCTAATTAAATGTTTATAGGTACCCCACCATTGCAAGAAAGCTTCCTATCCAAAATCACTCAGCTTTACTTGCTCCATGAGCTGAGAAATCCAACACTATGTCTCATGCTCTGACTCTTGGCTCTTCTGCCATCTCTGCTGCTCTTCTGCTCTTTCTCTGGTGTCACAGCATTCTGTACCTCCGTCAAGGAGGTTCAATTCATAGTGATCTATACAATACAAAGGACACACTCTGTTCCAGGCATTTCCTCATTGTTGGTGAGGTTTAACTATTCATGCTTCTGAGATGGCTCACTTTATACCCATGTTAAGATTCCAAGTTTTACAATGAAATTAGCCCTGTTAACATTCATTCACAAATGAATCATGACTCATCAGGAAAAAAAAAACCTTTGGTGTGGGTTTTACAAAAGCTATGACTAGAGTCTTCTTGACCCAGGTACACTAAAAACATCACTACATCGCACCTAAAATCATGGATGAACCAAGAGGACATTATGGTGATTGAAATTAGACAATCACAAAAGAGCAACAACCACTGTATGTGACCACTATTATAAGAAGTCATGGGAAGGTTTCACACTAAAATAAGCATTCATGACTATCAGTATTGGGAAGAAGGGAGAGTAATTTTGCTGACTAGAGAAGGTAGACACGTGGTAACTTGGGTAAAGGAGACAACAATCTATAACAGGGAGAATGGCAAAAGAATGATGGAGGCATGAGAAGACACAGGGAGGAGTGAAAGAGTTAAAGGCAATACACAATCCTGTAATAACAGAGATCTATAAATAGATCCTTGGGTAGTCACATTTATTGAACAGTTTATATATTTGTCGCAATAAATATATAAAAATTTGAATGAGAAAAGTTGTACATGGGTATTTACATTTGCTGCAAATATATCCATGAATGTGGTGGAGAATAGAGGGGGCAAAGTTATGAAATCTTTTTAGACATTACAAACCACCTTGAATGAATAAATCTATGAGCCTGGAAGCTCAGGATCACACTTCATTTGTATGCAATGCTTAATCGGCATAATAGTCTACTAAGACAGTATTGTACATCTCTCTTTGGTGAGTAGTGACTAATTTTAAAAGCTCATGAATGGTCATCTAAGATGCAATTGTTGATCTCTTTGTGTCTGAAGGAAATAAGAGTGATGGTCCAAGGTCAGTGGGCTAATTGACCATGTGAATATCAATAGCCACAACCCTAAGACCAGAACTATATGGGACCTGGCTACTGCTACCCAACTATCCTGAAATGGGTCACATTAGAAGGTCCTGAGTAGAATGGGAGAAAATGTGGAACAAAATTCAAAATCATAAAAAAGACCATGTCTACTGGTCAGAGGCTCGTAGAAACCTAGATTTTAGCCCTTGGTCACCCTTCTGAATTTTTTTTTTTTTTTTACAATACAAATAAAAGTTTATTGTACAAAATTAAGGCCTTCATATTTCACAGCTTACTAAGACTAAATAAAGTAAGACTAGGTAATTATTTGAGTCCAAAAAAGTTTAATTTTCACACTCTCCCTGGCTCCCTACAATAAAATGATCTGACCAAAAGTTATCCAAACAGACACTATAAATAAAGCAGAGTCCTTTAAAGAAGATGATCCCAAATGTTATTTCTTGGCATAGGTGATCTTCATGGCATGGGATGGGGTGATCTTAAATCCTTATAAAACATCCCTGGCAGCTCCCGCCTGGCCATCATTTTCAAATTCAACAAAAGCAATGTCATACCTCCCAGGTACCAAGCGCACTTCCTTAAAACCAGGGAACTGCTTAAACAGCATGGATAACATCATCTCATTTGTCTCTTCCGGTAAATTATTAAGAAATAAAATATAGTTTGGAGGGTAATCAGGGACCTGAGGACTTGGCGTTGTATTTCCTTGGGTGTTAGCTGAATTTGGTGTACCCTGACCAGGCTTTTTGTTTGCAGCTATTGCTGCTTGTTCCACAGTTTTAGCTTTTTTCTTTTCTTTTTTCTTCTCTTTGTCAGCAAAAGTGCCACGCATTTTAGAAATTATATCAGAATCGGTTTTTGCATATTGGATTTGCATTGGTTTACCATAGAATGGAAATCCTTGTAATTGTCTCAAGGCATTTGTAGATGAGCCTAATTCCTTAAATATAACAAAGGCCTGTCCTCTCATCTTCATAGTCTTTAAAGCCACAATATCTACCACATGGCCAAACTGAGAAAACAGAGCATATAAGGATCTCTTCAATTCTTCTTTTTTAATTTTGTCATTCATATTGTTGATATAAATTGTATGATTAGGTCTGATATCCATGTTTTCAGTCAAGTCGTTCAAACAGCCTGTGGCTCCCTCCCGTTTGAATAAAAAACCCGGTCACCCTTCTGATTTAGAACTGAATTTACTCCTGCTGCTCAAATTTCAGACAAGTAAATGGGTATATAGGAGGGACAACAACATCAGTGAGATACACACACCATAGAATGGCCAGCCATTTTGAGATCAAAAGGGTAGTATTTAACCAATGACAAATTTCAGAAGTGTTGGAAGGAAGGAAGAACAGAAACAAGAAGCACAGAAAGGAAGTGGGATCAGTGATGCTACATTGAGGGATTGCAATCATGAAGATGAAACAAAGTGTCTGATGTGTTGAATGTAAAACTGCTGATCTGCTCTGTAAACCGTCACACAATTCACAGTAAGAAGTGAAAATGATAGAAAAAAATGTCATTGTGTATCATAATCAGATCCTAAGGTGAATGTTGTTGTTAAGTGCCTTTGAGTTAGTTCTGACTCATGGTGACACTTCATAGACTTTGTGAGACTGGAAATCACTGTGGGAGCAGAAAGTCTCATCTTTGTCTTATGGAGCAGATGTTGGGCTACAACAGCTAACTGTGTGGTTTGCAGTCCAGTGCTTATTCTCTAGATTGATCACACTCCTAAATTGAATGCAATGATCAGTTAATGTTTCCTTCTATCTAAAACAGCAATTAGTGATGACTTGATAAACTTTTATCAAGTTCACATTCTATATACTGTATACAGCACAACATCTCTAATTTGCACAATACCTTCACTAATAATAATACCTCTACTAATAATCTTATTTGCTTATGAGGAAATTTCGTGCTGCAAAAGATAACTTCTTCAGTTATTATTTATCTAGTATGTATATTTGGTCAGAGGTAAATAGAATGCAGGGATATTGATTCCAAATTCCATATTAAAAACAGTTAAGCACTCCACTAGTAATTCAGAGGTTCATTGTTTGAACCCATTCAGTTGAAAGAAATGTATGGAAATCTACTCTGAAATATCATAATCATAATGGGGTTACCATGAGTCAGAACTAACTAGATTATAATTGGTTGATTTTGTTTTTGTTTTTTTAAATATTCACCTCCTGGTGATATCTGTGAATATGTCCTTCTCAGGAGTTAAAAAGGACAAACTCCTCAGATATAAGTTTATGACTCTGCACAAAGTAATTGATTAATATGTATTTGTTAGTTGATTCTGATGTTGGCTCACTCAAAATTAATCCTAAAATAATCAATGAGCTGAATAGAGTTGAAAAAGTAAATAAATAAGGAGAACAAACAAGATGGTGGATCGGGTGGAAGTGCAGTAAAGGAACTCCGCCAGCAACAACACAGAATACCCGACCAAGCAGGCCCAGGGGATGGTCCCAGAACTCAGAACCACATAAAGGAATATTTAAAAGGTTGGAAGGCTTACAGCTGGGAGAGTTTGTGGCAGAAGCAAGAAATCCATTGCTTTCTAGTCCAGGACGCTCAGGTGCTCCAGGCACCGCCATCTTGGGTGAGACCAAGAGTGGGAAGGATCGGAGCAGCCACAGATGCCTGGCAGAACTGCACAGATAAAGGTATGGACATTATTTTCTCTTGGTAGCTGTTCATTGGTCCCTTGCTGTCTGCACAACTCCATAGGGGTACCTGAGCTAGTGGGCACCAGTCCCACCCTCGGAGGGTTGTACTATGCATGTGCACAGATCTCCTTGAAATTTAAAGAGACAGTTTCCAATTAAAACCAAATGGCCACAGCCAGCCCTGAACTGTTTACAACTAGAAAAAAGGCCTGAACAGGGATTGTGG